GTTCAAGTCCTGGTTGCTCCACTTCTGATCCAGATCCCTGCTAATGTGCCTGGGAAAGCAGCGGAAGATGGCCCAAGTGTTTGAGCCCCTGCCACCCACGTGGGAGACCCAAAAGAAGCTCCTGGCTCCGGGCTTCAGCCTGACCCCACCCTGGCCATTACAGCCATCTTGGGAGTGAACCAGCAGATAGAAAATATCTTTCTCTGTTTCTTCTCTTTGTAAATCTGATTTTCAAATATATAAGTAAATATTTTAAGAAAATGTTGATGAGGTTGTGGAGAAATTATAACTCTCATGCATTTCTGTTGAGAATATGAAATACTACAGCCACTGTAGAAAATAGTTACGACTTATCTCAGAATGTTAAAACATAGAATTACTGTATGACTCAGCTGTAACACTCCTAGATGTATGGCCAAAAGTATTGAAAACAAAGACTCTAAAAACAGATATGAGGGGCCGGCGCTGTGGTATAGTGGGTAAAGCTGCTGCCTGCAGTGCTGGCATCCCATATGGGTGCTGGTTCAAAACCCAGCTGCTCCACTTCCAATCCAGCTCTCTGCTATGGCCTGGGAAAGCAGTAGAAGATGACCCAAGTCCCTGGGCCCCTGGACCCACATGGGAGACCTGGGGGAAGCTCCTGGCTCCTGGCTTCAGATTGGCATAGCTCCAGCCATTGTGGCCAATTGGGGAGTGAACCAGTGGATGAAAGACCTCTCTCTCTCTCTCTCTTCCTCTCTCTCTCTCTCTTTCTCTCTCTCTCTCTTTCTCTGTCTTTGTCTCTCTCTGCCTCTGCCTCTCTGTAACTCTGCCTTTCAAATAAAAATAAGTAAATCTTTAAAACAAACAAACAAATATGAGATATTATGGTTTGGAAAACTGTCCCTCAGAGATCCGTGTAGTAAAATCTTGATCCCTAAAGTCTTGTATTGATATTAAAGGAATGGCCCGGCACCATGGCTCACTTGGCTAATCCTCTGCATGAGGCGTTGGCATCCCATATGGGCGGCGGGTTCTAGTCCCAGTTGCTCCTCTTCCAGTCCAGCTCTCTGCTGTGGCCCGGGAAGGCAGTGAAGAATGGCCCAAGTGCTTGGGCCCTGCACCCCCATGAGAGACCAGGAGAAAGCGCTTGGCTCCTGGCTTTGGATTGGTGCAGTGCGCCGGCCGTAGCAGCTATTTGAGGGGTGAACCAACGGAAAGAAGACTTTTCTCTCTCTCTCTCTCTCTCTGTCTCTCACACTGTCTATAACTCTACCTGTCAAATAAATAAATAAAAATTTTAAAAAAGATATTAATGGATTGATGTTATAGTTGATGCATTAAGGATGAGGCTTGCTCTGATTATGATGTCTGGTAGTTGGGCCTAATGGGAGATCTTTGGGTTATTGAGGGCATGCCTTGGAAGGTAGCTCTTGTTAGAGGATTGGTTGTATAAACTGACCATGCTTCATATCTCTCTGTTTCCTGGCCCACCATGTGATGGTTCCTCCACACATGCTCTGCCACTGCCAGCCTCCACCAGATGGCAGAGTATTGGGCCACCCAACTGTAAGCCAAAATGAACCTTTTCCTTCTCAAGAAGCTCCTTTCAGGTAAAAGCTGACTAACACATGTGGGTACTTAGAAAAGTTCATGGGAAAATAGAATGAAAATATAAGTTTATTTTGGTGCAAAGAAAATTGAAATCCATGCATTTTATCTCATTTTCTGTGACCTTTTTGAAGATCCTTCTATGTAAAGATTTAAATATTTTTGCACTGAAATAAACGATTTTTTTTTTAACAGGCAGAGTTAGACAGAGAGAGAGAGACAGAGAGAAAGGTCTTCCTTCCGTTAGTTCACCCCCCAAATGGCCGCTACGGCCGGCGCACTGCGCCAATCCGAAGCCAGGAGCCAGGTGCTTCCTCCTGGTCTCCCATGCAGGTGCAGGGCCCAAGGACTTGGGCCATCCTCCACTGCCTTCCCAGGCCACAGCAGAGAGCTGGACTGGAAGAGGAGCAACCGGGACAGAATCTGGTGCCCCAACCGGGACTAGAACCTGGTGTGCCAGCGCTGCAGGTGGAGGATTAGCCAAGTAAGCTATGGTGCCGGCCTGAAATAAGCATAATTTTTAATTTATTTTTCACATACTTTTGGAAATACCTTCATTTTTGCATGCCCATGTTCATAATATGATTATTTATAATAAACAAAAGGCAGGAACAACCCAAGTGTCCATCAACAAATGACAAGATAAATGTGGTATTTATATACAATGGAAAATGAAATTTTGATGCATGCTGCAACATTGATGAACCTTCAAAACATTTTTATGCTTAATGAAATAAGCTAGACACAGAAGGATAAATATTGCATAATTCCACTTTTGTAAAGTACCTAGAGTAGTCAAATTCATAGAGACAGACAGCAGAATAGAAATTCTAAAGGGCTTATGGGTAGTTTTAAGGGGATAGTTATTGTATAACAGTATATTGTATATACTTATTGGGCATTGTCTTAATCCATTTTATGTTGATATTTCAAAATACTTGAGGCTGGACACTATTTATAAATAAAGAGGGTTACTCATAGTTCTGGAAATTCAAGAGCAAGACATGAGCATCTTCTGGGCTCTGGTGAAAGCCTTCTAGCAACATCAGAAGAAGGCAGATATTGTCATGGCACAGGCAAGAGGGAGAGATCACAGGAAAGCAGAGGCTTTCAGGGGCCACGTTTGCTCTTTTTATCACAAAGCACTCTCACAAGAAGTAACTCAATCCAAGAGATCAACATTAACCCTTCCAAGGATGGTGCTCCCAATGACCTTGCAATAGGCCACACCACTTCGAAGTTCCACCTCTCAATATTGTCACACTAAGGACCAAGTTTCCAGCACATGAACCTTTGAGGAGACATACTGTAACCAAACTCAAGCCATAGCAAGGATAAGAAGTTTAGGTATTGATACTGGTAATGGTTATATAACATTGTGAATGCGTTTAATGCCAATAAGTTATACACTTACAAATAATGTTTAAAATGAGAACTGGAGTGAGCAGTTCGTCTAGTGGTTGAATGTAGTTAAGATACCCATGTCCCACATTATATTCCCTGAGGTCAATTCCCAGTTCTGGCTCCTGAACATATCTTATTGCTAATGCAGACCCTGGAAGACAGCAGGATGGGTCAAGTAATTGAATTCTTGCCACCAGTGTAGAAGACCTGGATTGATTACTGACTTCTGGCTTCCTCCTAGGCTTGTCCCAGCCATTGGCAGGCATTTGGAGAGTGAAGCAGCATATGGGAGTTTATTCATTCTTTCTGTCTCTGTCTCTCTGTTTGTCTCTCTGCCTCTCAAATAAATATATTTTTTTAGAAATGATAACTGTTATGTTAGGTATATTTTACCACACACATACACAAACACCTACAAAATATTTACCATTGATTTCATTGGAAAAATCTTTATGTAATGGTGACAATTGTCAGATTCATAGAGACAATGACAAGGTTTCCAAAATTCTCACTTTTGCTTGGAAGTTTTATCACTGGAGACAAATACTTCTTTTCATTGATGTTAAAGATTCATCTCTTTGACAAAAACTGAAGTCTGAATAACCATAATTTATTGATTGTTTTTCTGATTAAGAGTGGTGCTTATAAAAAAAAGAAAAGTTTGTTCACCTCACAGCTTAATTGTACAAGTGCCTGGCCTTAAGATAAGCATTGTGCTTTAATATGACACAGAAGTGTTTTGTGCTGTATTTCTTTTAATTTTAGTAAAAACATAAAATTCCACATCTTACTGATTTTTTTTTTAATAAGTCTTTTTCTTTTTTTTTTTTTTTTATTTTTATTTTTTTGACAGGCAGAGTGGACAGTGAGAGAGAGAGACAGAGAGAAAGGTCTTCCTTTGCCGTTGGTTCACCCTCCAATGGCCGCCGCGGCCGGCGCGCTGCGGCCGGCGCACCGCGCTGATCCGATGGCAGGAGCCAGGAGCCAGGTGCTTTTCCTGGTCTCCCATGGGGTGCAGGGCCCAAGCACCTGGGCCATCCTCCACTGCACTCCCTGACCACAGCAGAGAGCTGGCCTGGAAGAGGGGCAACCGGGACAGAATCCGGCGCCCCAACCGGGACTAGAACCCGGTGTGCCGGCGCCGCTAGGCGGAGGATTAGCCTAGTGAGCCGCGGCGCCGGCCCCACATCTTACTGATTTTAAGTGTGTAGTTTAGAAGTGTTCAGTATGTGCACGTTGTGAAAGAGATCGTCAGGACATTTTCCTCTTGCAAAGCTGGAGCTTCCGTCTCCTGTTTGCCCCACTAGGTGGCGTGAGCTTAAGGCTGAGCATTCATAAGGTCAGTTTTCCTGCTTCATCAGAGGCATCTGAAGGTGCAGCAGGCATTTCGTTTGAAACATTCAAAGTGCATAGCAGTGAAAACAGTCACTAGTAAGGAAGGTTGGGAGCTGCTGCCTCGGTTCTCATCAGCAGTTTTACAAACCATTGCTCCTTATTCAGTACAAGTGCACACAGTGAAAAGGACAAAAATTACCTTCAGTCACATCATGAACCTAATTAAGATAAGTTGGAGATCTCCCCAGTTCATAATGTTAATTAAAAGAACTAATTTAAATCATATTAATAAAGTGTCCAGAAGAGGAATAAGATACTTGGTTATCTATTTCTATGATTGTTGTAGTTTGAGAATTTATGTTTTAGTTTGAGGATTTAAATTAACAGTGAATCTGAAAGAGGAATGAACTGTTCAGTTATCTGCTTCTACCTGTTGTCTTGACTTGAAATTTTATAACCGTGTTCTTTGTGAACTTGTGAATGCTCCTGTGTGTTGAATGTAAGTAGCCCTTCGTGTGCAGATCTGTATGTCATTAGTTTTAGGGATAACTGTCTTTTCCACTGTTCAGACTCCTAATAATGAAGCAAAAAAAAAAAAATAGTACAAATTGGTTTAAATCCTTGGTTCTTGATATTTCAGTTTGAAGGCTTTTTTCCCCCTCCTCAAACAGCAGTTTAAATGCTTCGCCTTCAGAAGGTCTTCCCCTGGGAGGCAGTGATGGATGTACTCCTCATTCATTCCCCAAATTCCAGCACCCTTCTCACGAGCTTCTGAAAGAAAATGGCTTTACCCAACAAGTGTACCACAAGTATCGTCGAAGATGCCTAAGTGGTAAGAAGCTTGTCCATCACCTAGTTATATCTGAAACTCAAATATTATTCTAAAAAACTCAAGTATCATTTAATATCAGGTTAAGATATTTTATTTTTCTTAAAAATAATCACCTCAAGTAAATGTGTTTATTCATATTCTTTATTCATGTATTTCATAGGTTTAGACAAATTAGAAATTAAAATCTGGTATATTCTTACTATCATTGACAAATATTTATGATTTGAACTGTACATCAGGAAATATTTACCTTTTGTTTAGAAGAAACCCAAATATATTTTGAAGATTAATGTATTTTAGTTCCCTTCATTGTAAGTTATGTAAAATGTCTGTTTTGACTTTAAAAATTTTATTTAGTAAAGAGGTATTTTATTATTTTAATTTTTTCCAGAGAGAAAATGCTTGGGAATTGGTCAGTCCCAAGAAATGAATACCCTCTTTCGTTTCTGGTCCTTTTTCCTCAGAGATCACTTCAATAAAAAAATGTACGAGGAATTTAGACAACTTGCTTGGGAAGATGCAAAAGAAAATTACAGGTGAAATATTTTATTACGCTTCTGCACTTGGCAGGAATACTGAAATAGCCTGCTTTGGACTGTAAAAGTAGTACAACACAACTGGCACAAGGGCTATACTCGTTCTGCATTGCTGCATACCAAATTACCACCAAGACTCGTGTTAAAACAACTAACATTTATTCGTTCATACCTTCTTTAAAAAAATTATTGATTTATTTGAAAATCAGAATTCCAGAGAGAGAGAGAGAAAGAGAAATCTTCCAGCCACTAAGAGCTTCATCTGGGTGTCCCATGTGGGTGGCAGGGGCCCAAGCACTTGGGCCAGTCTCCACTGCTTTCTCAGGCACACCAGCAGGGAGCTGCATCAGAAGTGGAGCAGCTGGGACAGGAACAGGTACCCATTTGGGATGCTGGTGTCACAGGCCACAGCTTCACGAACTACCACACTATAGTGCCACTGCACTACTAGTTCAACCTTCTAGGTATCAAGATTCCAGCAACCACTTAGCTAGGTGTTTTTTATTCAAAATTGCTTTGAGGTTGTAGTCCAGATATTTGGCAGGAGGGGCAGGCGCAACGGGTTAAACCTCTGCTTGGAACACCAGCATTCCATATAGCAGTGCCTGGGATGGAGTCCCACCTCTGCTCCTGAACCACCTTCCTGCTGATGAGCCTGGGAGGGAACAGATGATGGCTAAAGTACTTGGGCTCCTGCCATCCATGTGGGAGATTCAGATGAAGTTCTTGTCTTCCGGTTTTGGCCTGGCCCAGCTCTGGCTTTTGTGGGCTTTTGGGGATTGAACCAACAGTTGAAAGATTGCCCTGTCTGTCTCTGTCTCTGACTGTCTCTCTGTCTGCCACACTGCCTTTTAAATAAATAAATCTTTATAAAATATTTCTATATCAGTTCATATGCGATCTTACTGTATTTTTTAAAGATTTATTTTATTTATTTGAAAGACAGAATTAGAGGTAGAGACAGAGAGAGAGGTCTTCCATCCACTGGTTCACACCCCAGTTGGCCACAATGGCTGGAGCTGCGCCGATCCAAAGCTAGGAGCCAGGAGCTTCTTCCAGGTCTCCCATATGGATGCAGTGGCTCAAGGACTAGCACCATCTTCTGCTGCTATCCCAGGCCATAGCAGAGAGCTGGATTGGAAGAGGAGCAGCTGGGACTTGAACCAGCAACCATATGGGATGCCGGCGCTTCAGGCCAGGGCTTTAACCTGCTGCGCCACAGTGCCAGCCCCATTGGCCATATTGTATTGTATCAAGTAAAATCTAGTTGAATTCTAAAATGTGTGTGTGTGTACACATTTTTATATATATACATATATATATATATATTTTTTTTTTTGACAGGCAGAGTGGACAGTGAGAAAGACAGAGAGAAAGGTCTTCCTTCCGTTGGTTCACTCCCCGATGGCCGCCGTGGCCAGTGCGCTGCGGCCGGTGCACCAAGCTGATCTGAAGCCAGGAGCCAGGTGCATCTCCTGGTCTCCCATGCGGGTGCAGGGCCTAAGAACCTGGGCCATCCTCCACTGCACTCCCGGGCCACAGCAGAGAGCTGGCTGGAAGAGGAACGACCGGGACAGAATCCCGTGCCCCAACTGGGACTAGAACCTGGTGTGCTGGTGCCGCAGGCAAAGGATTAGCCTAGTGAGCTGCGATGCTGGCCACACATTTATATTTTAAATGTTTGACAGGGCTGTCCAAGGCATTTATGTAGCCATTGGCAGGAAACTTTAGCTCCTGGCCACTTCGGCCTCCCTGCTGGGTATTTTATAGCATGGATTCCCCGAAGGCAAGTGCCCTAAGAAAGAAGGAACAGCCTCCAAGATGTCAGCCTCAGTGTTTTGAATAATCAATACTTGGAAGTAACATATCATCATCACTTCTGCCATATTGTATTGCTCATATAGACCAGTCCTGTTGCAGTGTAGGAAGCAGCTACACAAGGTCATAAACAGTAGGAGATGGAATCATTAGAGACTATCTTAGAGAGTGACACAAGGATGGCCGGCACCGTGGCTCAGTAGGCTAATCCTCTGCCTGCGGCGCCAGCACACCGGGTTCTAGTCCTGGGATGAAGTTTCAGTCTCCTGGCCCCAGCCATTTTGGCCATTTGGAGAGTAAGCCAGCAGATGAAAGATCTCTCCATATCTCCCTCTCTGTCTGTCACTCTTTCAAATAAATAAATCTTAAAAAAACATTCCTTGGGCAAGAAAAAGCAAAGCCTCTCATGAAGTGTCTCACCTCACTTACTACCCAACCTTTCCCCACCAGTCCTAGGCAAAAGTGGTATGAAATTGTGTGTTCCCTGAATGATCCAAGTTCTCTGGCCTGTGGACATTTATGCATATTCTTCCTTCTGCTTCTCTTTTTCTTCCCTGTGTTTTGCTAACTCCTGTTCTTTTTGTCCAGCTTACACCTTACTTCCTTCAGAAATGTTGAGGGCACGCTTTGAAAGTACCACTTGGGCTGAGTGAGACCAGACAAGAAGAGTGGGAAGGAAGACAAAGTAGACGCAGGCAGGTTGTTTGTTCACAGTGAGAGGGAGACAAGATGGAAAGAAGGAAAAAAGATCAATTACCACTCAATGGCGTTTACCTAAGTTTCTCCTTCTTCAAGTTCTGAAAATGTATTCCTCTTATAAATCTCATACAAGAAGATATTATTAATCAGATATTGTGATCCTTGAAAGCAATGCATGGGGCTGCAAATAAATTTTTCCCATGAAAGCCAATTTGTATTTGTACTGAAGTCTGTCAAAACAAAGTCCACTTAATTATCATCTAGAATCTTCTATATAAATTAGAAATGAAAGATGGATAGCATGTGCCCCTGTTTCCCTCTCTTCTTTTCGTTCTGATATTTTAATCAATCTCAGCACTACTTTGTGCTCTTCCTTATCCTACCTTTCACATTTATAGTCTTTCTTACTATGCCTTTGGTGGCTACTTCCAATTCACCAGAGTTAGCACAAAAGTCAGAACTGGCCAGTCTTCATCTCAGTGTTCTCATTCACAACCCAGTGTGTGGGTTTGCAGTTGACTGTCCTACATTTCTCTTGGTGACTTGCCAAGAGAAACTCTCCCATTTGTAAGTAAACTGGTTGTAAAAGACACACACTGGGGCTGGGGCTGGCGCTGTGGCGTAGCAGGTAAAGCTGCCGCCTGCAGTGCCAGCATCCCATATGGGTGCCGGTTGGAGTCCCGGCTGCTCCACTTCCGATCCAGCTCTCTGCTATGTCCTGGGAAAGTAGTAGAAGATGGACCAAGTGCTTGGGCCCCTGTACCCTCGTGGGAGACCTGGAAGAAGCTCCCGGCTCCCGGCTTCGGATCGGTGCAGCTCCGGCTATTGCGGCCAATTGGGGAGTGAACCCGCAGATGGAAGACTCTCTCTCTGCCTCTGCTTCCCTTTCTGTATAACTCTGACTTTCAAATAAATAAATAAATATTAAAAAAAAAAAAAGACACACATTCAGATGCCCTGCTTCTTGTGGATGACAGCCAGTAATGTTACCAGTAATGTTAATGTTACCAGTAATGAAGACTCTGTTCCACTGCATCACCCAGAATGGTTTAAGGATTCGGACTGAGGAATCTTTTAATTGTGACATCTAGACATGGTCCCTGTACCGCTGTGTTAATGGCCTTGTTTACTGTCATGGATTCTGATCATCACCAGTAGTTCAAGGTTGTAGGTTTGCTGATCCACAATCCAAAACTTGATTTTTTTTCCTGATTTATTTGGTGATAGTAACTTTCTTAGCAATACATCTACTGTTAGTTATATTTTATAAAAAGAATAGGAAGTTCTCTTAGGAGCCACTTAATTAGTTTTATACTATTATAGTTGAATGAGTCAACAACATCTAGTGTCCAAGACACAAGAGTTGCGGTCTTAGTATTTTTTTAAAGATTTATTTATTTATTTTGAAAGAGTTACAGAGAGAGAGAGAGAGAGAGAGAGAGAGAGATCTTCCATCCATTGGTTCACTCCCCAGTTGGCCACAATGGCCAGGACTAGACCAAGCTGAAGTGAAAAGCTTCATCCAAGTCTTTCACGTGGGTAGCAGGAGCCCAAACACTTGGGCCATCCTCCATTGCTTTTCCTATGCCATTAGCAGGGAGCTGGATCACAAGTGGAGCAGCTGGGACTTGAACTGGTGCCCATATGGGACACCAGCGTTGAAGGCCCCAAGAGTGTGGTTTTTATCTCTTTAGAATGAATATTATGTTTAAGAATATTTAATGCCATGCACAGACACACCATTATAAACCTTGGTTTGGGAAAAATCTAAACCATTCCCAGTTTGTCACTAAGTCTTTTGAACCATTCTTCAGGGAGAGATATTCTGTCTGTTTAAAGAAGCCCTCTCTTAACTGTCCTAAGGCTGCCTCTCGTTCTGCAGGTTGCCAATATGCCTTTATCATGTGCTGTGGCTGAGTCAACAAAAATAGCAAAACCAGCTATGGATTACCAATTATCACCTTTATGAAAAAAATCTGCATACCAAAAACTTACTTTTTGTTTAAGATTATTTGTGTCATGTCTGCTTGTATCAGTACTTCTAACTATGAGATATTTTGCATTATTATAGCAAGTTTTGTTATAAACCTTTTATTTCCTTTTCCTAGGTACGGGTTAGAATGTCTGTTCAGGTTTTATAGTTACGGACTGGAAAAAAAATTCAGACAAGAAATTTTTAAGGATTTCCAAGAAGAAACCAAAAAAGACTACGAATCTGGTAAAAATAAATTAGTAGATAAAAAACTTATTCTATTTGGAAACTGTAAACTGAGTCTGTCAGTAAAAATAAGGAAGGAGTTTATACTTATTTCTTCAAGGTAAAGCATTTAGGACCTTTAGGCCATTGTTAGGGTCTTGATGTAGGACGGGGCTCTGTACAGTAAGTAGGCCTTCCCTGTGAGGTGTTAGAAAATAACCACTCCCAATTATCTCCTTTATTATTATCTCCAGATATATTTTGTCACTATCATCTTGACAAGCATGTTACATAACATAAAAATTTTGTGATACATCAGAAGGTATGCTTGGAAAGGCAGGGCAGCATGGTGGTTAAGAGTGCAATCTTTGGCCGCGGCGCACTAGGCTAATCTTCCGCCTGCGGCGCCGGCACCCCGGGTTCTAGTCCTGATCAGGGCGCCGGATTCTGTCCCGGTTGCCCCTCTTCCAGTCCTGCTCTCTGCTGTGGCCAGGGAGTGCAGTGGAGGATGGCCCAAGTGCTTGCGCCCTGCACCCCATGGGAGACCAGGAGAAGCACCTGGCTCCTGGCTTTGGATCAGCGTGGTGCGCCAGCTGCAGTGGCCATTGGAGGGTGAACCAATGGAAAAGGAAGACCTTTCTCTCTGTCTCTCTCTCTCACTGTCCACTCTGACTCTAAAAAAAAAAAAAAAAAAAAAAAAAAGTGCAGTCTTTGGGCTGGTTCCCTATGTCTGAATCCCGTTTCCACTACTTTGTAGTTTTGTGCCCTGGGGTAAGTTACTTAAACTTGCTAGCCTCAGTTTTCTCATCTTTAATGTAAATGAGATGACCTCTTATATAGTTGCATATAGTTCAGTTTGATATATAATAAAGTACTTAAATAATACTTCTTACAGAACCAGTGTTCAAAACATGTTAACTGCTGTTGTTCTTTATATGAAGGTACTTCAAAAAGTTCATAGACAATGGAGTTAAAAGATAAATTTATTTTGGTAGAAAAAATTTTGAAATCCATGCATAATTTTTTATAATATACATTGCCCATAACTTTTTGAAGATACTACCCCCTTATGTGTTTTTTATTCTCAAGATCTAGATTAAGTATTTATTGGAAGATACATGGTTTATTGGTAATAGAATCATGTTTAATATGAATAATTTTTTAAAATTCCATATTATTTAAAGTATGTGTTCTTATTATTAGGTCAGCTGTATGGACTAGAAAAGTTTTGGGCTTATCTGAAATATTCTCAATCTAAGACACATTCTGTTGATCCAAAGCTTCAGGAATACCTCTGTAGTTTTAAGAGGTTAGAAGACTTCCGTGTCGAAGTAAGTTTCAGTCCCTTCCTCTTCTTTTTTTTTTTCTACTAATGTATTTCTAACTCTTATCACTGACTTTCTTAGCTTTTTTACAATTTTATTTTTTTAATTGGAAGTTTAGCTTTTTAGTTTTGAAATCAGATTTTCAAACAAGTACAAAAATAGTTCAGAGAATTCCCATATACCAGTCAGATTTTCCAATTAATTAACATCTTATCCAGCCACAGTACAATTGTCAGTTTACTTGAATTTTTACATGCCTCTATAGTTAAACATTTTACAGATTTAGTAACTTTTTTCAAGATGTGCTCCTATTTTCTTACTAACTTTGTGAAGACTTTTCACTTTTTAATGAACTTTAATCCATATATAATTTCTGTAACATGCTGATATGGATTTAGGGTTCTTTCATAAAAAAATTCGGTCAAGAATGTTCTGTGTTTATGGGTAGGTAAGAAATTAATACAAGTGCATGAGTCTCTGGAATTAAGAATTCTTTTTCATTTTTTATGAGTATTGTTTTAAGATTGACTTATTTATTTCAGAGGCTGAGTTACAGACAGAGAGAGAGACAGACAGAGAGAGAAAGGTCTTCCAGACACTAGCTCACTCCCCAGATGGCCACAATGGCCAGAGCTAGGCCGATCTGAAGCCAGGAGCCAGGAGCTTCTTGCCGGTCTCCCACGCCGGTGCAGGGGTCAAGCTCTTGGGCCATCTTCCTCTACTTTCTCAGAACATTAGCAGGGAGCTGGATCAGAGTGGAGCAGTCAGAACAAACCAGTGCCCATTATGAGATGCCAGCGCTGCAGGTGAAGGCTTCACCTCCCACACCACAGCAGTGGTCCCAAGAATTTTATAAAGTGACTTCCCGTTCCTGTCACAAAAGCATCCCTGCTCTGTAATCATAGTTCTTGCCCTATCTGAACATAATTTCAGAATTCAGAAATCCTCTTTTAAATACAAGGGAAGGTTGAAAGAGGAGGATAGGCCCTATTATGTAGCTCAGACCCTAAAACATGAGCGAAGCTTCATAGACATGTTGAAAGAATGAGCAAATGCTACGAGGCTGATTTAGCTAGGGAGAAAATTTAATGCCTTAAGGTTGCTGTTAATTTCTTTTTATACTCATAAAATGTACTGAAGCACCAACATAATTTCCCTCTTTGTTGGAAAAGGCTAAGCCTTAAATTTTGAAGGGAGCAAAGATGTCAACTATGTTGTCTTTCATAATTTGCAGCCCCCTATTAGTGAGGAATTCGGAAGCAAAAGGCATTCATCTACTTCTGGTGAGAAAAATAATCATCATAGACTTCCATCTGATTCCTCTGCACAGCCACCGAATGCAGCTAAGCACACGTCTGCCACTGAGCTTCAGGTCCCAATAAACTCTCCCAGAAGGAATGCTGCGCAGGAGTCCAGTGACAGTTCTCACCAGAACAGTGCTGCCTCCATCTCCACCAATGGTGAAATGCCTGAGAAATAGACTCTTATGAAAGTTGTTTGTTCTTGAAATCAACATTCACATCAGTATTTATTTGGGAAAACTCTCCTGATGTTTAATTGTGATAATCAGAAAAAAGAAAAAGAAAGAGAAGTAGTGGCATTTTTCAAGCAAGGTAAATCCTGAAAGTATTTTTCCTGATTTCACAAACGAGGATAGTTTTGGTGAGATCCTTTTACTGAGATCCTCTAGTAGTATATTTTGATCCCAGTATTTTTTTTTCGAAGCTAGTGTTTACAGGAACAGCATTCTGTTTAAAGGTATTTAAAACAACACAAGGAATGCCTAAGGTTTCAGCTCATACTTCTTAAAGAAGATATAGTATGTTGTATTCATCTCTTCTGTAGAGCTTTCTTAAGGAATCCGGTTGCCCCACTATCAATTCATATTTGAACTTACCAAAAACAAAGGAAGATTACGTATATATTTTGTAAATTGAGAAAGAAATGAAATGATACATTTACTTTTTCTGTTAGATGTAAAGTTTAAAGGATGTCCTTCTTTCCTTTACAAAGGTAGAAATACATAGCAAAGTGGTGGTTATGTATGTATGGCACTGCTGATGCAGGGATTCGGTTTTTCTAGTCATACCTCATGATTTCCACAGTTGTTGGTGTTGAGTTCTCTGAACTGACATAAGCTAGTTACATTATTAGTAGAGATTTACTTTTGCAATTCTGTATGAACTTGAACCTATAGTTGAAAACTGCATTGGGATTGGTTGGAATATTGAATTAATTAAATCTCTTGTTTTGAATTCATCTGCTGTTTTTACATCTGCAAGTAAGGGTGTCAGAAGCAGTCAGATTACTTTCAATTTAAAAAGAGTACTTAGTTTTTCCTTATTTCTTTTAATTTGGTTTTATGCTCAAAAGTATTTGAAGAGTTACAACAAATTGGTTTCTAATTATTATTGCTATTGTAACTTATGTAAATGATAGTTTCGGTTTTTGTGAGATTTTAAAAATAAAGCACAAGCACCTATTCTGAATTATTTAAAATGATTATTATTTTTATTAAAAATATAGTTGAAAAACTAAAGTGCAAATTCTTCTGATAGAAGACCTTATATTTTGCGAATGAAGTTTCAGTTATAAACTTAACTATATCTGTTTTTAATGAGTACAGCATGACTGACAAAATTTTCTCAGATTGGCAGAAGTAGCTAATTTCAATACATTATTTTTTTGAGTAGATAGGTGTCTTATAATTCATAATATTGAAATACATATTCTCTTATTTGGATAGGTGGGCTACTCATCACAAAAAGATTTTCATTAAGTTATCTCCCATGCATAGATGATAGCCTTCAGTTTAATAATAGTTACTATTTTGGGAAGTCATTTTGGCACTTTAATTTTAGGAAAATTTGAATATTCAGAAAATAAACTTTACTTAGAAATAAGAGGTTACAAAACAAACAATGGAGGGGCCAGCACTGTGGCGTAGCAGGTAATGCTGCCACTTGCAGTGCCAGCATTCCATGTGGATGCTGGTTTGAGTCCCGGCTGCTCCTCTTCTGATCCAGCTCTCTGCTATGGCCTGGGAAAGCAGTAGAAGATGGACCAAGTCCTTGGGCCCCTGCACCCATATGGGAGACCGGGAAGAAGCTCCTGGCTCCTGGCTTTGGTTTGGCACAGCTCTGGCCATTGCAGCCATCTGGAGAGTGAACCAGCAGATGGAAGACCACTCTCTCTCTCTCTCTCTGTGACTCTGCCTTTAAAATAAATAAATAAATCTTTAAAAAAAATGGATTATAAAAATCAAGTATTTAGTATTTTTAAAAAAAGATTTATTTATTTGGAAGGCAGAATTAGAGAGAGAGGGAGAGATACAGATTATCTTCCATCTGCTGATTCATTCTCCCAATGACCTCAATGGCCAGGGCTGAGCCAAGCCAAAGCCAGAAGCCAGAAGCTTTATCCAGGTCCCCCATGTTGGGTCTTCTGTTGCTTTCCCAGGCCTTGGGCAGGGAGCTGGATCTGAAGTGGAGCAGCCGGGACATGACCCAGTGCCCACATGGGATGCTGGCGTCCCAGGTGGCAGCTTAACCTACACTATGCCACCACATCAGACCCGCATTTAGTATTTTATAAAAGGAGTATGTAATTCTGGCTTTTCAGTGAGGAATGTCCAACCCATGCTTATTAGCTCTAAGTGATTTCTTGAAATGATCTAAAATTTTTTCTCAATTGCCTTTTTGTACTGAACACATATAGCTGAAACCATATTTAACTTAAGATTATTTTTACTCAACTAAATGTGCAAGTGTGAATTTGGAAAATTATCTTTTTTATGAAAATACAATAATCAAGAAGTTTGTACCATATTTTAAAAAACATTTTTTAATTATTATTTGACAGAGCTAGACAGTGAGAGAGAGAGAGAGACAGAAAGGTCTTCCTTCCGTTGGTTCATTCCCCAAATGGTTGCCACGGCCGGCGCCCTGCGCTGATCTGAAGCCAGGAGCCAGGTGCTTCTCCTGGTCTCCCATGCGGGTGCAGGGCCCAAGGACTTGGGCCATCCTCCACTGCCCTCCCAGGCCACAGCAGAGAGCTGGACTGGAAGAGGAGCAACCGGGACTAGAACCCAGCGCCTATATGGGATGCCGGCCCCACAGGCGGAGGATTAGCCAAGTGAGCCACGGCGCTGGCCCCTGTACCATATTTTAATTAGCAATTTTACATTATTTTTATTATAAAGGAATACATATACATTGAGATATTTATGAAAGCACCAAGAAGAAAATAAAAATCTTTTTTAAGAAGAAGAAAATCCCAAATTGGTATCATGCCATACATATAGCATTGTAACCTGCTGTTTTCATTTAATAGAGTTGACCATTTTCTGATATTATTATTTCTACATCATGACTGGTTATGTAGTATTCCAGCATGTGAATGCACCAGTTTATTTAGCTAATTACCTTTTGTTGAATTTTAGCTATGACCAAGTTTTGCCGGTTACAAAAAAAAAGTTAATTAATGAGATCCTACCTGTAAATCTTTGTATATAACCTTGGAGTCATTGCCTAGAGTAAATTCCTAGAAGTTAAAATTCTAAATAAAAACAGATCCCCAGGTAAGGCCCTCTAGGAAGGTTGCAGTGTATACTTTCACCAGTAGCATCTGCTTCCCTACGTCCTTACTAACATCAATTATTAAAATATTTTAAAGATCCATTTGAGAGAAGGACAGACTTCCATCTGGAACTGAAACCCAGGCACTCCAATATGGGATGCAGGTTTCCCAGTGTATTAGCTGTTGCACTACAGTGCCCTGTTATAAATATTTCTTAACATCAGTTATTATAAATCTCTCTGTTTGCTAGAAGTAAAAGATATTGTTCTAATCTCACTTTAGTGTGATTTTAACCACATTATTAATTAGTGATTTTTATTATTTGCTATATTTTCTGTAGCTTGCTTGATCATAGTCTTTATGTTTTCCTTTTGGACTGAGTATCTTTTCCTTGTCAATGATAGAGGCTATTTTTTTCTTACTAAGAATGTTAACTTTTCTTTTAGTTTTTTAAAAAATTTGTTTTTATTTGAAAGTCAGAGTTAGAGAGAGAGGACTAGATCGAGATCTTCCATCTGTTTTACTCCCCAGGTGGCTGTAACAGGCAGAGCTGGGCCAACCCAAAGTCAGGAGCCAGGAGCCTCCTCCAGGTCTCACATGGGTGGCAGGGACCTAAGCACTTGGCCATCTTCCTCTGCTTTTCCCAGGCCATTATCGGGAACTGGATTGGAAGTAGAGCAGTGGGGACTGAAACTGGTGCCTATGTGGGATGCCCAGCTGCTCCACTTCCAACCCAGCTCCCTGCTAATGTGCCTGGGTTATATATGAACTGTAAGATATGCAGAACCGGAACACTGACAATACAATGTACAAGGAGCCTTTCCAGTTACTGCTGTGGCCCATTTCTACTGAAGAGAAATGTCCATCTGTACAGTCACTTTTACCAACCAGTGGGGATAGGCAGCCCCTGCCAAGCCTCCACTGTAGGCATCTGTTTGATCCAAAAATTGAGAGGACTGCATACATTTAAAATCAGTCATTGATGAAGTGGTGGAACATCACACTTTGAACATGGTAATCTCTCCCCCAAAAAATCAATCCCAGTTTTAAGTGACCACAGGTCCTTTGTCCATCATGAAAACCCTACAGGATTGAGGGCTTTGGGAGATGAGAAGATGAAGGCTGCCAAAAAAGGAGGCACAAAACCAAACCAAAAACCTAGGTCTTGCAAAATCATCATTTTTTCCCTTTACCAAAGAGAACTAGAAATGTACAAATTCACTGATGAACCTCAATGATAACATCAGCTAGCTGATAACCCTCATTTTTACCTGGACCCCTGATTCTTGAGAATAAACGAAAAGAATGTGGATAATATATTTATATATATATATATATATATACACACACACACACACCACTTTTAGAAAGGAATCATTTTGGGGCTGGCGCTGTGGCGTGGCAGGTAAAGCCGCCGCCTGTGGTGCCAGCATCCCATATGGGTGCCAGTTTGAGTCCCAGCTGCCCCACTTCCAATCCAGCTCTCTGCTATGGCCTAGGAAAGCAGTAGAAGATGGCCCAAGTCCATGGGCCCCTGCACCCACATGGGAGACCTGGAAGACTCTCCTGGCTCCTGGCTTCAGATCAGCACAGCTCTGGCTGTTGCAACCACCTGGGGAGTGAACCAGCAGATAAAAGACCTCTCTCTCTCTCTGCCTCTGTTTTTCAAGCAAATAAATAATAATAATAAAAATAATAATAATGGAACCTTTTGCTTAAAATATTCCCTTTAGAAACCAAAACTAGGCCGGCGCCGCGGCTCACTAGGCTAATCCTCAGCCTTGCGGCGCCGGCACACCGGGTTCTAGTCCCGGTCGGGCGCCGGATTCTGTCCCGGTTGCCCCTCTTCCAGGCCAGCTCTCTGCTGTGGCCAGGGAGTGCAGTGGAGGATGGCCCAGGTGCTTGGGCCCTGCACCCCATGGGAGACCAGGATAAGTACCTGGCTCCTGCCTTCGGATCAGCACAGTGCGCTGGCCGCAGCGCGCCTGCCGTGGCGGCCATTGGAGGGTGAACCAATGGCAAAAGGAAGACATTTCTTTCTGTCTCTCTCTCTCACTGTCCACTCTGCCTGTCAAAAAATAAAAAATAATAATAATAATAAAATAAACCAAAACTGGTCCTGGGCTGTTATAGGTATGTGTTCATCTCTCAGTGGTCTACTCAGAAATGATGTTACAGGTGAAGCAGCAGCAGTGAAGAGATTACCTTGGTTCTTTGTCTCACATGGAAAAAGAATTTCCAAGTGGACAAGGCAGAGAGAAAAAGATTCATTTAAGTCAAAAGCCTCCTGGCAGAGTGGGCGGGAGGGGAGCTCCAAGAGAGGCAAAGCCCCAGGAGTCTGGTGGTAGTGGGGTTTTGAAGCCCAATTTTGAGTAAGGAAAAACCTTGACAATCAGTAACAAGGTGGGGACAAAACCCCTCAAAAGACCTGATTTGTAGTCTTGTTCACTCTATCTGGCTTGCTCAAGATAAAACAAAAGAGCTATCAGAAGAGGGGATATGCAGCTTGTTTTACAGTAAACTGGGAACTCAAAAGGATGGAGTTGCCACTCCCTTGCTGTCTCATGATAAGATTGGAAGCTCCCAGGCCGGCGCCGCGGCTCACTAAGCTAATCCTCCACCTTGTGACACTGGCACACCGGGTTCTAGTCCTGGTCGGGGCACCGGATTCTGTCCCGGTTGCCCCTCTTCCAGGCCAGCTCTCTGCTGTGGCCAGGGAGTGCAGTGGAGGATGGCCCAAGTGCTTGGGCCCTGCACCCCATGGGAGACCAGGAGAAGCACCTGGCTCCTGTCTTCGGATTGGCGCGGTGCACCTGCTGCAGCATGGCGGCCATTGGAGGGTGAACCAAAGGCAAAGGAAGACCTTTCTCTCTCTCTCTCTCTCTCTCACTGTCCACCCTGCCTGTCAAAAAAAAAAAAAAAAGGAAGCTCCCAGGGAGTGGGCCAGGCAATTTTGACATTGCTAAAGATAACTTCTGGGAGAAGCCCTGAACCAGCCTGCCAGCCTGACTGCCTATTAACCAGTCTGACTCCTCACAATAAGGTTTCTGCTTCCTTCCTTTCTTCCTCCCTCCCTCCCTTCCTCCTCCTCCTCCTCCTCCTCCTCCTCCTTCTTCTTCTTCTTCTTCTTCTTCTTCTTCTTCTTCTCTCTCTCTCTCTCTCTCTTTCTCTTTCTCTTTCTCTTTCTCTTTCTCTTTCTCTTTCTCTTTTCTCTGCCTGCAGCGCTGGCATCCCATATGGGCACAGGGTTCTAGTCTCGGCTGCTCCTCTTCCAGGCCAGCTCTCTGCTGTGGCCCGAGAGGGCAGTGGAGGATGGCCCAGGTGATTGGGCACCTGCACCTGCATGGGAGACCAGGAGAAGCACCTGGCTCCTGGCTTCAGATCGGCGCAGCGCCAGCCGTGGTGGCCATTTGGCCATTTGGGGGTGAACCAACAGAGGGGAAGACCTTTCTCTCTGTCTCTCTCTCTCACTGTCTAACTCTACCTGTCAAATAAGAAAAAAAAAAAAAAGTAACTGAAGCATTTTTTAAAAGGTAAATTAGCAAAAATAAATACCAACCCTGGCATTTTCACAAATAATGCAAATGAAGTGATATGGCCTTTAGGATGGGGTTAGTAAAAGGGAAGATAGAAGTGAAGAAAATTCAGAGAAAATGATGTATTAGTTTTTCTTTTTAAAAAATTCTGCATGTGCAAAAAAATCAGCTGTTTGCCCATTCCAAATGTGCCCTTGCATTTCATAGTATCAAAGAAACCACCACCCCTTCTTCCTAAACGCATTTTATGCTTCTTATTCCACATTAAATGGGAACTGTGCCTAGTGTGCCCCTCCAATTAATACACATGTTCCAAAATAATCCAAGCCAGAGGCATAAGGTGGGAAAACATCTCAAAAAAAGAAAAGTCCACTTGAGGCCTGTAATTTACCTGAACAAGGTATTTTACCCCAATATCTTGACACTTGATGAGTGAGCCTATTAAGAGTTACTACTTGTGGGGCCGATGCTGTGGTATATCGGGTAAAGCCACTACCTGAAGTGCTGGCATCCTTTGTTGACGCCAGTTCGAGTCCCGGCTGCTCTGCTTCCGATCCAGCTCTCTGCTCTGGCCTGGGAAAGCAGTAGAAGATGGACCAAGTCCTTGGGCCCCTGCACCCATATGGGAGACCTAGGGGGAAGCTCTTTGGCTCCTGGCTTTTGACTGGCGCAGCTCTGGCCGTTGTGGCTATCTGGGGAGTGAACCAGTTGACACAAGACACCTCTCTCTCTCTCTGTCTCTCTCTCTTTGCCTCTCCTTCTCTCTGTGTAACTCTGACTTTCAAATAAATACATAATCTTAAAAAAAAAGTTACAACTCATTTCCTAGAGTAAAACCTAACTGAAGAGGGATGTGTGGGGTTTCTATTAGGATGTAAGTTTGTTCTTATTTTACCTTTTCTTTTATGATCCTTTCCCACTAGGTTAGAACAGGTTAATTCTTCCAATTTTTTTTAGTCTTTTCTAGGGCAATTTTTAGAAAAGCAATGGTCTGATGTAAACATTTTAAAGTATAGTGCACGTAACTTCGCAGACTGTTCTAACAGTCTGATAATTTGTAAATGCTTTAGATTTTTTAAAAATTAACACTTGTATTGCTAAATCCTATTTATGTAAGTCTGCTAAGATTTTTAACATGCTTAAAACTTCAAACATTTAAATAAGTAATGGATGGGTTACTGTGAGCAATTTAGCTTTCAGAACCCCCATGTATTAGTATATGAAAAGGTGTAATGTGCATTAGTGAGGTTGGAGGGACTATGAGAAATATGTATGGTGTATATTTTAAAACACCTTTGCTTGTATTGTGAAGATTTAAAAACAAATAAGATTTTTAACATAACTTTTTTTTGAAGATTTGTTTTACTTATTTGGAAGATAGAGTTACAGAGAGAGAGAATGAGGTCTTCCATCCATTGATTCATTCCCCAAATTGCTGCAATAGGTGGAGCTGAGTTGATCCAAAGCCAGGAGCCAGGAGCATCTTCTGGCTCTCCTACGTGGGTTGCAGGGGCTCAATGACTTTGGCCATCCCCTGTTGTTTTCCCAGGTGCATCAGCAGGGAGCTGGATCATAATGGAGTAGCCAGATCTCGAACCAGAGCCCAAATGGGATGCTGGCACTGCAGGCCAGGGGCTTAACCCACTGCACCACAGTGCCAGTGCCTTAACGGAACTATTAACACGGTTTGAACTTAAGTTATCCCACTGGGTTTAAGAGCATCTTGAATTTATAATCCTTTTTATAACCCAAGTTGGTGTCTGCTTTTACCAGTCATCTTATTCTTTCTTTTAATTTTTACAATGATCTACTTTTTTATTTTATACTTTTGATATGTAAATGTTTTGCTTCCAAGGCTTGTTTCCTCATTCCATCACACAGAAATTCCCACTTTTTTCCTTGGCCCCTCGTACTGAAGCCATTTTTCTTTCTTTCTTTTTTTTTGATTTAATTTTATTTATTTATTTTTTATTTTTTGACAGGCAGAGTGGACAGTGAGAAAGAGAGAGACAGAGAGAAAGGTCTTCCTTTGCCATTGGTTCACCCTCCAATGGCCACCGCAGCCAGCGCACCGCACTGATCCGATGGCAGGAGCCAGGTGCTTCTCCTGGTCTCCCATGGGGTGCAGGGCCCAAGCACTTGGGCCATCCTCCACTGCACTCCCTGGCCACAGCAGAGAGCTGGCCTGGAAGAGGGGCAACCGGGACAGAATCTGGTGCCCCGACCAGGACTAGAACCTGGTGTGCCGGCGCCGCAAGGCGGAGGATTAGCCTAGTGAGCCGTGGCGCCGGCTGAAGCCATTTTTCAAATTTTTTACACCTCAAGCAATTAGGAAGTGACTATGTTTTAATGTACATATCATTTCAGTTTTGAAGTGTATGTTTTTTTGAAATTTATTTTGCCAGTTTGGGACTCCATGCTGGCAATCTCTCCTGATTTCCCCATTGTCTTAGGGGTGTTAGCATTCTCCTTTGTGTGCTCAATCTTCAACCAGTTTCTTTTTAGGAAGCTGCTTATTATTTCTTTTTTATCCTTGCATGGACTGATCTAATAGAGTAGCACCTAATTATATCTCCACTAGGTGGCAGAATGGAATAAGTCAGATCTGTAGACTTTTGACAGAAATCGTGTGTGTGTTTTGGAGAACTCTTCCTCCATCTTGTGGTGATACCTTATCAATTATTCTTGAATTGCTGGTGGTCATACCTGGCTCACCACCTTGTGCTGCCTTGCGAGGCATCACTGCAGTTGGGAGTAAATGAGCAAAATTATTTGGTTATTAGTAAAGAAATACAGTAATAGCAGTAAGATTTGTTTGTGGTTAAAGCTGAAAATGTTAGGAGAAAACGGCGACAAAGGAGGCGACCTCAGTTCTTGTCTCTTGTAGAATCTCTACGCGGAAAGGACGGTGAGCAGAGCAAGTTTAAGTCAGAAACCTCTTGCTGCAGCATCAGGAGCGGGCTCCGAGAGAGGAAGACCCAGAGAAACTTGTCCAAGTGGGGGTCTTTTAAGCACAATTCAGAGGAGCAGAATCACAGCCAGGGGTCAGGGACAAAGCCCATCAGAGGGCCAGGATCATAATCCTGTCTGGCCTGCTCTCACGATAGAACAAAAAAGCTATCATAGGTAATTTCACCTTTCTATTCTGCTAAAATTAGAAACTCAGATGGGTGGGGTCGCTACTTCCTTGCTGTTCTCCTTCATGATGAAACGAGAAACTTAGAGGGGAGAAATTGGTGTTTTGTCTTTGTAAAGGCAGCTTCTGGGTAGAAGCAAGCATCTTGTCCACTCTTAAAGGGACCTCCACTTCCCTCATCTCAGTGGGGACCCGACCTGACTCTCTTACTTAGCTCATCTACCTCCTCACAGAAATACCATTGCATTGGGGTTTTGCCCTTTCACTTAAAGGTTTGTGATTAACTCTCTTGAGATACAAACAAGACAAACGAGTTGTGAAATACATCTGCTTAAATGTCTGACTGTAAGCTGTGTAGTTAAATCATATAGCAAGTTAGCAATGGATCCTGCCTGATATTAATAAAGATATATTTATTTAAATGGCAGAATTAGAGAGAGAGAGGGAGACAGAAAGAGAGAGAGAGATCACTTCCACAGCAGAGGGGCGGGCCAGGCCAAAGCCAGAAGCCTGGAACTCCATCTGGGTCTCCCACATGGGTACAGGGGCTGAGTACTTATTACCAGGGAGCTGGATTGGAAGTAGAGCAGCTTGGACTTGAACTGGTTCTCAATGGGATGCCAGCATCCCGGGAGGTGGCTTAATCCACTGCGCCACAATATCAACTCCTTTTAGGAGGAACTTGAAACGATGTTACTTCTGCAACCAGAACAAAATGTTAACATACAGCTTAGAAATTGGATGCCCAAGGTAGGATTTGAATTCAAGTAGTCTTTTGGTTTTTATTTTAATTTTAAAAAGAGATTTATTTATTTAAAAGAGATACAGGGAGAGGAGAGGAGAGAGAGAGAGAGAGAATGAATCTTCCATGGCAATGGTTGGGGCTAGGCCAAGCTAAAACCAAGAACCTGGAACTCCACCTGGGTCTCCCACATGGGTGTCAGGGACCCACAAGATGGACCATTTGCTGCTTTCCCAGGTGCATTAGCAGGCAGCTGGATGGGAAGTGGAGCTGCCAGGACTCCGGTGGTGCTTATACGGGATGCTTCTGTTGCAGGCAGCAGCTTAACGTGCTGCAGCACAACGCCAGCCTCCTAAGCTCTGTGTCTTAACCAAGTTGTTGTTTCAGAGTGTGAAGTATCAGAACACATGAACAGACTCTAACACTCAGCTACAGTGGTTCCTTATTATAAACCAGGGTTAGAGTCTTGTGGTAAAGATTACATTTTTGCATGATAGGCATCTTGTGCAATAATGAATGGTTTGTTGGAATACTTAAATACATAATTAAGTGCTAATATTTAGGTAAATCCTCTTTTCGGGGGAGGTCATGTTTAGGGGACAATATCATTCATGTGTTTAAATGTTTCCCCAAGTCAGATGAGGTAAAATGCAAACTAAACCAAACATTTGATTCAGAATCCACTTTGGAATTTTGCAATAGTTTAGGGTTATTATTGCCAACTGAATAT